ACTCCTTGCACAATCGGTGGGAATGGAAAATGGGTTATAACGTCATATATTCAGTCTGGAATCAATCGTTGTCTTAAAGACACTTCTTTAGCAAGCAGTTAAATATAAGTCTTAATTGTTAATTAAATATAGGTTTATAAGTAAAACTGTTTTTTCTTACATCCTTCGCTAACACCAAACTTAATTAATCTGTAAACATAATACGTTTAACATTAATATTTAAGCAATTTCAACATTCTGCTTCAACAACTTAAAATATATTAATAGTTTTTGCAACATTTAGTATCCAAAAGAATTTCCTTTTTATATACTAAAATCTTATTAAATTTATTATTCATCCAAAATTAATAATGTTTGTTAATATTTTTGTTGTACCCTCATAGATTACAAACAGCTTTCAGGCACCTGCTATATGACAACCAAGAGATTTCAAAATAATTGATCATAAATAATCTGAAATGTTAATTTATCAATAGCAATAAATTTTACTTGAACAAAAAACATCAATTCATAAGGACCTTTCTTGCGGATATCGTAAGAATGACAAAGTTTGGCCCTTAATTTTAAAAAGATATATTTCTTGCAAAGGATAAACGTTTATTTTATGGGTCACTTGAATGTACTACGTTTATATTTCTTTTCGTCTTTCCAATATTAAGAAGGCTAATGTCTTTGAAAATACCAATTAATTGTCGAACCACATTAACGTTAGAATTAAGAAGTATTTTTAAAAATCAGAATTATTGAAATTCATAATCATATTAAGGAGAGTACTGCATAATCTGAAATTTCATATATGAATTTTCTATTTATTTCTTCCACAAGTTTTAAAACTGTTTACAATTTAAAATACTAATAAAAATTAATTAACTGGACCATCTTACAACTTCGTGTTTCTTGAATTTTTCATTGCTGATATATAATAATATTCTTCCAAACTGTAGTTATCTTTATATGTGTAAATATTTCATCAAATATTTTTTTTCAAAAATGTTCTTTAAAAGAAAAAAATTGTTAAATCTTATATTCTACCAAATATAAACTGCAGGTGGATTGTTGTTATTCTCCGTTAATGTGCGAAAACAATTGCAGGAACCCTAAAATATAGCATTAAAGTACATAAATCTGTATACCGTCCCATTGCCAGGCGTCCAGAGGCCGTAACATTAAACATTGCAGTGACACAGCAATGAATGTCGAGCATAAATTACGGACATGGTGATATGTGTGACTAGAACCAGGCAATATTATTACGTAAACAATTACTATACATCCCTAGTTTATTAAAACAATACAGATGAAAACTCAAGTAACTCAATATGGCTGTAATACACGAAACATCCAGAAACAGTAAAGTACTAACACATGAAATGAATTACAAGTGAATTTTAAGTTTAATTTTGGATAGAATGTCTAGCTGATACATGTATGCTTCATGTGATACAAGAGCTTACAATTTCTTAATTTTCTTAATGATATACTTATACTATACTCTTCGGTATCTTCAAACAATATGGACGTAAAACAACTCTTTTATAAGCTGTTAAAAAGTAAGTAACATTCCCTAACCTAACAATTTCCACTCCATGAATTTTGTTACTGACGTCAAAGCAGTTAAGTTGTTAGATAAATGGAAACTCAATGAATAACTTAAATACAAGCAAACTCAAATTAAAATTATCTCCCATAATACAAGAATCGTCATTAACAAATATCAAAATTATATCGGTCCAGTATATAAAAGATAAAAACGTGTTTTTATGTAAAGATTGTTGTATCTTTAATCTTTTTGTAAAAGAAAATAATAACGTAGAATATTTTTGATGTTAAGAAGTTTGAAAAGCTGCAGGTCTAGATGCTATTCTATTAAAATGGATTATTATAATGGATTCACAAATCGCTGAAGGCTATTATAACATGCAATACGGAACTTAAATTTAATTTTATTAACAAATTTTAGTATACATAAATAACTATTATAATTTCTAAGAGTTTTGTCTATTAAATATGTTTTGATATACACTTAATTATTCTGTAATAGATGGTTCATTTATATCGACAAGTACAAATGTAAGCCTCAGTGATGAAGTACCGCTTATAGAGCCTGATCAAGTGTGAGAACGACCCCCTTTAAAAGCAATATATCTTATTGTACTGACATATTAAAGACATCTACTTGACTGCACTTAGAATCGTTTAAATGTAACCTATTTCTATTAATACGCCATTTATATATCTTTTTTATTTTAAGCGTTTGTTTGAAGTACATTTTCTTTATAAGTTAGTAGATTTCTTTTTATAATAACGAATGTACAATTTTGAAACAATGGGTTGAATACTTATGACTTGTAACTTTTTCCACGATACGTAATAAAAATATTCAAATCAAAAATAAATTATTACGACAAATATTATTATTTCGTTTTAAAAGTAACATTCATAAATGAAAAATAGCGCAATGAAGTTTAGATTATTTTCCTAAATACAGCTAGAACATACGATTTATTAAAATTTTATTTAAAAAGACAAAAAATAGGAAAACGCTATGCAAAGTTTAGTCAGAAGCATTACATCATATCTCAGAATGTAGTTTCCCTCATAATATTTACATGTAACAGAGTGAATAATCACCCAACTTTAAACATTAGCGTACCATAAGGCAGATTGGTTGATAATATAATGCACAATTCTTCAGATTAATACTGCGTTACAAGTTTATTATAGAGCTCAGGATTACTGTTATCCAAATGAGACTGAAAATTTATAACGACTTAGGTGTCTGTGTTACTCTTAAATGCAAATACTATTATAGAAAATCTTAGATTTAAAGAGTACCATTCCTTTACAATAAGCGGGTGTATACAAACTTGAGTATGACTATAACTTGTCATACATTGGCTAAACTACATATCCTCGTTCGTGAACACAGGTATATACCGAAACTTATTCACGAAGCTATTGCAATTAAAAAATATGCCAATTTCAATAGAGAAGATGGTTGGAATCTATCTAATATCTAGGACCCCCTGATAACATAAATATAAAATCCTATGTACATGACCACCCCGCAGGACATCGAGACACAGTGACATCACAGGAAGATAACAAATAACAAGTCAAATTGAAAGACATTTTCAACTCGTCTGGCCGGATAACGATTGCTGCAAAGAAACCGAAAAGTCGGGAGTATATAGTTTACAATAATAACCAAACGCATAATAAATCCTAAAATATTAGATTTATTCAAATGAATACTAAAGTCTTAGATCTCATTATCTTAAATTTAAATTGTCAATACCAATCCAGTGGTTTATTCGTCAGAAACCAGATATAATATTCAAAGATAAAAAATATAAAGATAATTCTGTAATCAACTCAGTTGGAGTCACAGGTAATATATAGTACATATGTAATCAAAACCGGAGTTGTGCTCGTTGGCTTGATTTGATTTTAATTAACATTACAGTCTTATTAGTGCAATAACTATAACAAATAATTTTCCTCTTTATAGCGACTGTTGGAATTGAAGCCAACTTTAACGATACTATTACAAGTTTATTATAAAGTTTCCATCATCAAAACTACTTTTTATGATTTTTTTAATTTTATCTTTTCAGAAAAATATATAATGTATAAAAACAAATAAACAATAAGAAAACCAAAGACCTTATGGAATCATAAAGATAATTCCGGTTGCGTCCGCTGCTAATAGGAAGAATTTCTCAGGATAATGGATTTGATATTAAATTAATACCAGATAAGAGATACAAGGATGCTGTGTTTTCGTTGAGTCATGTTTCTCGTTAGTGAATACAATGTTCGAAGTGTTTCGTAGATGACTGATGAACGGAAAAACTATATCAATTGTGCTTATCTTCCCAATATTTCTATCAAAGTTAAACCACATTGATAACCTTATAAATTTCTACTAAAAATTTCAATTAAGCTATTTCATGTCATGATAACAAGAATGTTTTGATAAAAAAAAATATTTTTATAAAAATCGATATAAACTCAATCATAATATTTTCTAAAGTTATTTTAGTAAAATTAAAAAGCGAACAAACTTTAACGTAAGTACTACTTTTTTTTTAAAAGACGCAACTAAATACAAAAAAAATATCAAGGAATATACTTAAAACCCTCAAAAATTTTAAAATTGATTCAGGTTCCTGAATCCTTTATCCAACTGTAATAAAAAAATCCATAAATACATTTAAAAAATCATCCCTTTCTAAGTTAAAACAATATTACAAATCTCGTAAGCGTACGTAAGAAGTACCTAATGAAATTCAAATTGAGATAACCATTTCGCTAAATAATTTTCTAAACATGTACTTGTCACTCACTAAAACTTTATTTCATAACATGTAAGAAAAACAAAATAAGATGTTTTTAAATATTTTACTAACATTCATTTTTGAAAGTAATGGAAAACTTTTTACGTCTGCTCTGCCGTTATGTCACTTTTAACATTTTATGTCTTAAGAAAGTTGTAAAAGTAAGATAAATTAAATAATTTAAGATATTAAAAGTGAAATAAAATAAATAAACAAATATTTTGTGACAATTGAGTGTTAATGAGACGTTTTGTTCTCTCTCAAAAAGATTAATTAATTGAGTGATGTTTTAGTCAGATGTTTTCAGCATCTTCAATCGAACTCAAAGTAAAATTGTATATCAAAATTAATGAAAAACTGTGTATTCTAGAAACAAATATTTTAATTACTGATTTGCTAGACGATAACATTTAATTTTTAATGCGTAACTCTTCCACAAATTTTAGATTTAAATTATTGAAAATAAAAATATACTCTTATATTAAAATTATTAAAATAAAAAATAGAGTTTAATATCCGGAAGCTTTATTCAAGTGTCAATCTTTCCTGCAAACTCGGTTACCGCTATATGGACTAAGATTAATTTTAGTTCCCGGGGCAGTTTCTGGTACTGCTACCGGGCGCGTCCCCAGGTGGCGGATAGGGGAACGGCTCCCAGATATGGGAGCTACCGGCTTGCCGGCGCGGACCAAAACCAGTGACGACTCGGCTTGCCGGGTCGTCAAACTCGTAACCCCGTACATGGTGCGGGGCCGAGGACTGCCGCCCTCGGGCGGGGGTCGCGTGGAAGAAAACCACTCTAAAAAATTACCTCTGGCGTCGGGATGTGACGAACCCATCGCCCGTCGGGTAACACCGGCGCAATCAGTCACGGGGGGGGAATAGGACCGTTGCCCCTAGGGGTAACGGTCCTGGCCTGGGGAGGCCGTGTGGGTGTGAGTCATGCTGCTGCGAAAGCAGTGGGCATGGCTCACGGAGCTCGTAACCCCCATCTCAGCGACGTGGATCATGTCTCGCGGCTCAGTGGGGGACCGAGGGGCTTGCCTTAATTGGCCGGCCCGCGAGGAAGAAAACCTCTATAAAAAATTACCCCGAATCTCAAGTGGCGGCGCAGCGCGAGGGGATGCGTGGCTAGCGGGTGTGCTAGTCGCTACTGCGGACCAGTGCAGGATACCGGCCGACATCCTGCTACTAAAAGGCTTATCCGGGAACAGGGGGCACCTCCCGGATGGACCGTTCTTCCCCCATACTCGTGGGATCAAGTATGGAGAAATTTAACAAAAAAAAACCAACACCGATAGGAAAACACACGACGACTTTGGCAAAAGACTAACGGACTCTGAAATGCACACCGATGTAGGGACGGCGAGTGAAGGGTCGCGGACGGCTTCGCCCGTGACCACGGCATCGAGAGGGAAGTTCTTCCGCGCAAGAGGGGGAACTGACTCGGACGAGAGTGGCAGTGATACTGTCACCTCGCTACGATCGGGGTCGGAAGAGGAAGCGCAGAGACGTCGCTTCCGGAAGAGGCGGGGGAGCGACGACCCTGTACCCGGACCTGAAAAGGGCACCTCGAAGCCCTCAAAGAGGGGGAGAGGGAGACCGCCCACCACGGGCGTATACGTCGGTCTGCACCAGGCGCGGAAAGAGAAGCTTGCAGAGGAGCGAAGAGCTCAGCGCCTGGCAGAACAAGCAGAAGCGGACCGGCAAATCTCTGAAGTGACCAGAGTACTACCACAGCTACGGTCACACCGGCTGTCGGTAGTCTCACATACGGACGCGACGATGGGTTTTGAAGTTGACGAAACGACGACGGCAACGATCGGCAACTCGATCGCAAAGAGCTTGGAGGTCATAACAAAGGTGGCCACCAAATCCAAAAATCTAAGTGGTCCCTTTATTAAGGCCCTCAAAATGGCCACGATGGAGATCAGAGAATCCACTGCGACGTTACTAAGTCGTACGAGAACGGAGGAAACGAGGGCTCTTGAGGCGGCCAATGCCCGTCTCTCAAAGGAGCTCTCGGACCTACGAGAGGAGCTCGCGGCCGTAAGGCGCGAGGTCCGCAGGGCGAGCCCGGAGGCTGCCCGTGTGGCTCCTGCTGAGGAGCTCAAAGAAGTCATGGAACGAGCGGTACGCGAGGCCGTCGCCTTGTCGAGCGCGAGGCTTGACGCGCGGTTGGAAGGCCTTGAAGCCAGGCTCCTCCCCGAGCCGCGTCTTCGGCCTCCCCTCGCTTCTGACAGAAGAAAGGAGGCCGCTCAAGGAGCGCAGTTGGCCGCAACAAGGCCTAAACCCAAAACCCCTGCCCCAGAACCCGAGGTGACAACACTAACACCTCCGGCGAACCCTGGTCGACAGGAGAAGAGGAAGAGACGGGAGAAAGTGACTGCTGCGGCGAAGGAGGCGGCAGCCACCAGGAGGGACGGTCCGCCCAAAACTCCGGGCGCAGCTGAGGGCACACCCTCGAAGGAATGGACAAAAGTCTCAAATAGGAAGGGACAGAAGAAGGCAGTTCCGCCGCCGAAAAAGGAGCCCAAACAGAGAAGACTGCGGGCCCCGAAATCGGCAGCAGTGGTCATCACTCTGCAGCCGGAGGCCACAGACCGGGGCGTCTCTTATAAAGACGTCCTGGAAAGGGCCAAGAAGAGGATAGACTTGGCGGCCATGGACATAGGGGCTGTCAAGTTTAAAGTGGCTGTCACCGGGGCGCGCATGCTCGAGGTGTCGGGGTCGGGCTGTAAGGAAAAGGCCAACCTCCTTGCAGACCGGCTTAAAGAAGTGCTGGCAGAGGACGCCCGGATATCCAGGCCGCAGAAGTGCGCCGAACTACGAGTGTCGGGACTCGATGACTCCGCGTCCGCTCCCGAAATAGCGGCCGCCATCGCCAACAGTGGCCTTTGCGCGGCGGAGGAGGTGAAAGTCGGCGAGATTCGGCGCAATCGAGGGCGCGGCACAGCGTGGGTGAGATGCCCAGTGGAGGCCGCCAAAAGAGTGACCGCGAAGGGCTGCAGGACAAATGTCGGGTGGACCGTGGTACGCGTCACCCTACTCGAAACACGGCAGATGCGGTGCTTTAAGTGCCAAGAAGTGGGCCATACGAGGGCAACCTGTCCCAATGAGACGGACCGTAGTGGGCTATGCTTCCGCTGCAGTCAACCAGGTCATCCGGCCACCCAGTGTGAGAATGCACCGCACTGCGTGCTATGCGCCGACAAAGGTCTGCCGGCGACTCACAGCGTCGGAAGCAAGGCCTGTGAGAGGCCTACACCTAAGAAGAAGACGCAAGACAAGAAGAAGGCGAAGGCAAAACCGAATCCCGTCGCCACCACACAGGAGCCCGCCGCCACACCACCTGCAGCGGCGGCTCCAGTGGCCGAGGAGGTCCCAATGGAAGCTCAATAATAGGACTTCATCGATTCCTGCAGGGCAACCTGAACCATTGCGCCCGCTCGCAAGATCTTCTCATTCATCATGCGGCGCAGTGGTCAAGGGATATATGCGTGGTGTGCGAACCATACCGTGTCCTCGACGGACGCGGACTCGACGGTCGCCTTAGTTCTCGGCCCTAACATCGCGCCCTTATCTTCTGGGGCAACCTTCAGGGGTCGGGGATACGTCGGCGCTCAACTGGGGACCCTCACCGTGGTGGGGGTGTACTTCTCCCCCAACAGACGTCTCGCGGAGTTCAACTCCTTCCTCCTCTCACTAACGAGCGTGGTAAATGGAGTGTCGGGCCCGGTGATCGTCGCAGGAGACTTCAATGCAAAATCCTCCCTGTGGGGATGCCCTGTAACGGACGCCAGAGGCCGTGTGATGGAACGCTGGATGGCGTCAACGGACCTCGTGTCTGCAAATCGCGGCACTGTCAGCACCTGTGTACGTTGGCAGGGCGAGTCCATTATCGACATCACCCTAGTCAGCTCGTCGGCCGCCCATCGTGTCGCCAACTGGCGGGTGCAGGAGGACACCGAAACCTTGTCGGATCACCGGTTCATCTGCTTCGACTTCATTTCACATACGCCGGAGCCGACCCCCACACTACCATCTAGTGGAGGGCTAAGATGGTCAATGAGACGACTGGACCGTGAACTCCTAGAGGAGGCTGCCGTCGTGGCGTCCTGGGCTCCCCTGCCCTCAAATGAAGCCGCGGCATGTGCGGAGTGGTTGAACGAGGCGTCGCGCAACATCTGCGATGCCTCCATGCCCAGGGTGAACGCAAATGGACGGCGACGACGACAGGCGTATTGGTGGCGGCCCGAGCTATTCCAGCTCCAGCGTGCGTGCACGGCGGCCCGTCGACGCTTCAAGCGCTACCGCAGGCGACGACAGAGGAATGTAGAGGAGGAGGACTCGCTATACCAGGCGTACCGCGAGGCCTGTCTCACTCTCCGCGACGCCATTGTCAAGGCGAAAAGGGAGGCGTGGGAGGACTGGCTGGAACAACTTAACGACGACCCATGGGGCAAGCCCTATAAATGGGTCCGCCAAAAGCTGCGCCCGGCGGCCCCACCACTTACGCAGAATCTCCACCCGGAACTTCTAAACAGAGTCGTCTCGGCCCTATTTCCGTCTGGGGCCGAGCATCAAACACACATTGTGACTCACCGGGAGGACAATTCTGAGGAGGAGGAGGAGGAGGTCATACCACCAGTCACGGCGGAAGAACTGAAGGCAGTGATCCACAAAATGGGCCAAAAGAACACGGCGCCTGGCCTGGACGGAGTTCCGGGCAAGGCGTGGGTCCTCTCCATCCGAGCCCTTGAGTCTCACGTACTTGCCGCACTGACCAATTGTCTGGTCCAGGGTCGAGTACCAAGGCGCTGGAAGACGGGGAAGTTGGTGCTCCTGAAGAAGGCAGGCCGCCAGAAGATCAGCCGTCGGCGTATCGCCCCATTGTTCTACTGGACGAGATTTGCAAGATCCTTGAGCGCATTCTCGCCACTCGTCTTGTCCAGCATCTCGAACACGTCGGTCCGAACCTGAGCGGGAACCAGCACGGTTTTCGTCCGGGCCGGTCCACCATTGGGGCGGTTGCACGCCTGCGCGACATTGCAGAGGAGGAGGTGTCCCGGGGTGGGGTTGTACTGGCCGTCTCGCTGGATATTTCCAACGCATTTAACTCCCTGCTCTGGGAAGCCATCAGGAACGGCTTGAGGAGACATCGCGTCCCGAAGTACCTGCAAAAGGTGATTGGGGACTACCTCTCAGAGCGCTCAGTCCAATACCCGATTGAGCACGGCTGGGAACAAAAAGAAGTGGTGTGCGGCGTTCCACAGGGGTCGGCTCTCGGCCCCATCTTGTGGAACATCGGATATGACCCCGTGCTCTCCGGCGCCAACCTTTATGGCGTCGAAACAATCGGATACGCGGATGACACGCTGGTCGTGTGTAGGGGCAAGTCCCACCGGGACGTAACCATCCTGGCGACGGCTGCGGTGGCGCAAGTCGTGCGGCGGATTCGGGCGCTGGGCCTCACAGTCGCCCTGGACAAGTCCGAGGCGCTGTTCTTCCACGGACCAAGGAAAAGACCTCCACCCGGATTGGCGGTGGTGATTGGCGGGACTAGGATCGACATATCGTCATCACTGACTTACCTGGGTCTCACCATCGACGGCAGATGGACCTTCAAAGAGCATTTCCGTCGCCTTTCTACAAAGGTCACCAAGGCGGCTGGAGCCCTGGCTTCGTTGCTGCCAAACCTAGGCGGACCGAGCCTCAGCTGCCGGAGGCTATACATGGGGGTCGTGCGCTCCATGGCAATGTACGGAGCGCCGATCTGGGCCCGACAACAACTGGCCCCAGAGAACCGGCTACAACTAAGGAAGCTGCAGAGGGTGATGGCCACCCGAGCAGTCCGCGGCTACCGCACAATATCTGCGGATGCGGCATTCCTGCTCGCGGGAACCGTCCCCTGGGACATAGACGCCAGGTCCCTCGCTGATGTGTACTGGCACTGCGACCGGCTGCGCGCAGAGGGCAGACACCCTCCACCAGACGCCGTGCGTCAGATGAGAAACCTGGCCAAGGATAGGGCGATCACCTTGTGGACTGACCAACTCAGGCAGCCCCGAGTCAGCGTCGCACTGGTGACGGCCATCCGCCCGCTCCTGCGGGAATGGGTGCACAGAAGACACGGCGCGCTCTCCTTCCGACTCACTCAGGTCCTGACGGGGCATGGCTGTTTCGGCAGGTACCTGTGTGATGTCGTGGGAAAAGAAGACACTACGCGATGCCACCAGTGCGGCGACGAAAGGGACACGGCCGAACATACCATCTCAGCCTGTCCTCACTGGACGCGACAACGTGCGGCTCTACGAGCCGCCATCGGATTGGACACCTCGCTGCCAGCGGTCATCAAGGCCATGCTGCGCAGCGACTCGGACTGGACTGCGGTCGCCACCTTCGCCGAGGAGGTGATGACTGCGAAGGAGGAAGACGAGCGCGGCAGAGAGAGGGAGGGCGCTCGAAACCTCAAGACGAAGACGGAGGCGACGACGTACGGCCACCAACACCCTTGGTCGTGACATCCCTCCGCCTTAGCCTGGAGTACTCGAGGTGACGGTGTGGGCACACCGCCGCCTCACTGCAACTGCAACGAGTCCCCGAGCGGGCCGTGGTGCGTACACCTCTGCGCACCGCGGAATAGTAGCGGAGAACAAGAGAACGAAGAGGAGACGGCTGGTCAGCTGGCCAGCGGTAACCCGTCGCCGGAGTCGCGGTCGTATGACTGTTCCCGTGGCTTCGGCACTCAGCGGAGAGAGGTTGGGCCTTGGAGGTTTAGTGGGTAGTGGCCGAACGCCTTTAGGTCGAGCCCCACACACCCCCGTGTCACTAAATTTGCCCAGGCACGGGAAGTCCGTAATAGGATTCCTCCAAGTAAAAAAAAAAAAAAAAAAAAAAAAAAAGATTAATTTTAGTTAGAAACGTTTGAAATTAATTTTAAATGAAAGCGTATTTTAGGATACTGTTTAAATAATAAAATTATTGAAGCCAAAATACATTTTAATTAGAGAGAAGTTAATCTCTGTCAAAGAAAAGCTGGAAATAATTGATACAAGAAATAATCTATGTTTATATTCACTACATTGATTTATTTAATATCACAATAACCAAATAATTCTTAACGCCTTTGATTAAGTTTGCAGTCTTCGTCCTTCTCGACCTTGGAATATAATATTCAATTAACAAAATACTATTTATTCTGTAAGTCTTAACTTCAGCTAACGGAATTAATTTTTGGACGGAAAGTTGTTTGAATTAATTATGCGAAGTTAAAAGAGATTATAGCAACAAAAGTTAAGTATCTACCTAAATGTCAATGACTTATAACAAACAATTAAAAACAATATAAACATTTCATATCCTAATTAAATGAATCTGATGCGATATTTATATTCTCTCGCAACATCCCAAGCAATTCATTTCAGATATTACCGGAATGTTGCTACAGCTTGCCTTGAAGGCGAAACTTTGAAACAAGTGACTGAAACGTGATAACGGCATATCCCATAAAAAGATTATATTTCCTTTCCTTTAGATAGTGGATGATAAAGTAAATTTATTTGTAAATAGTTTTCAATAGGTATATTCTATAAATTGGAATTTGCGAATACTACAAACTTCATCACAATTTATTGAAAACTGTTTGCAGTTTGAATAAATTTTGAATAAAGTTAGACTTTGCGGCATGTATGTTCAGAAGAACCAGCACGTCTGACAGATATGCAAACATAATAAAGAAATTACTTTCTTCTTTGCATATAAAGCTATATGTCGAGTTGAATCCTGAATGTAGTTTTCTTTACAAGTTATTGAACAAAATGGTTTGCTACCAATGCTCATACTACACTGGAGGCTCTAATTTTCGTGTCTAAATTAAACTAGCACTTAATTATTGGAAATATTGTAAAGATAATAATGTACTTTTTACCTGCTCATAATGGCAGACGCAGTGAAATAATTATGAGAAATGAAAGTCTGAACCTAAGTAGGGCATAGAAGAGTTCTACCTGCATTTATAGAACAACCTTGCCAAGCCCGTAGAGGCAAAAAAAATACTAGAATAGACGGCAAAGACCTGTCCGTCACGCGAGGCTCACGACATCATTAACAGCCGAGTGCAACTTTATTACGTTCTGTAAAGACATTTTCCAGGTCAAAACTACAGCTGGAAACAAACAACTTGTTATTTTTACGACACGATAGCGATTCGTATAATCTAACAAGCTATAAAGGAATTTTTCTCTTCAAAATATTTATAAATAAAATTATGTGACTAAACAAAAATTTCATTTATATCTTATTGAGATATTTAAACTTTTGTTGTGCAATAGTTTTAATGTGAACACTCATTTAATTAATAACTTGCTCAAGAACTATATAGAGTAACATATTTAAACTAT